ATAAATAAATAAATAAATAAATAAATAAATAAATATTAAAAAATTTTGTTTACATCAAATGGAGAACTTGAACCTATAGAACCTACAGAACCCTACCTTCCTACAGAATCTATAGCATCGATAATACAAAGAGCCCAGTCTCTTCTCTCTTCCATTTTTCCACCAGGAAGACACTTTACTCATAAATTGTCCAAAACTTCCTCCAAAGGCTCTCAGCATTCTCAGTCTTGGGTACTGCTGAAGGAAATGCATGTGCATCTTGACGTAGGGCTCTGATGGTGGACAGCAAACAAATTTTTCAGGTTGTCAGGCTTTTCATGGACAACCATATTTTTAGCTATACTTTGGTGGATGAGGAAACTGAGGCTTGGAGACGTTATGTGATTCACCCAAAGTCATATATTCAGTGGGACCAGAGCCAGAATTTGGACCCAAAACTTAACTTGTCTCCTACTCAGCCTCTCTGTTCAAATGTCAGGGTCAAGTTTAGCCAATTCTTACTAAAAGATTTATCTGGAAATCTATAATTTCCTTTTATTCAACCAACACACACGGTGCATTTCCCTGCTTCTTCTATCTGGAACTGAAACCCTGCCCTTATCCCGTTCCTCCTGCTCCCAGAGGAGCTCCTGGTGTGGTGTTCCACCCTGTCTTGGTGACTTGTTGCTTCTTAGCTTAAAAAAACCTGTTCTCCCATTCTTGCCTGGAGACCTGAGTTCTTTTGTGAAGGACTGTTTTCTCCTACCTTTCTATGCCCAATGCCAACCCAATGGGTTGTAGTAGGCACTCATAAATACTTGCTGCACAATAGAAATGACAGTTTTTGTTCACTTATTGGAATTCAATCTTTAAAATCTTTTTTTTTTAACATTTATTTTTGAGAGGCAGAGACAGAGCATGAATGGGGGAGGGGCAGAGAGAGAGGGAAGACACAGAATCCGAAACAGGCTCCAGGATCTGAGCTGTCAGCACAGAGCCCAACGCAGAGCTCGAACTCACGGACCTCGAGATCATGACCTGAGCCGAACTTGGACGCCTAACCAACTTGAGCCACCCAGGAGCCTCTAGAATTCAATCTTTAACAAAACCTACCTATCCCAGGGTTTGGTATATATAGGAGAATTTTAGCCACACCTGTCTACCTAACCTACTCCCATTCTACCTGGGGGTTGTGTATTTCGACTGGATTTTCTTGGGCCATTTATATACGTTCGTATTAATAGAACTATAAATACGTATATGTAGTTATTAATAACAAAAAATAGTACGTACTATTTATAGAACACCTGCTTTGTGTCAGTAGTAATTACTATCCATGTTTGACAGAAGAGAAAGGAGGCTCAGAGAGGTTCAAGCTAGTGAATGGGGAAGCCAGAACAAAGCCAGGTTTTTCTGTTTCCACCACACCACACTTCATTGATTTTTATTTCTGTCACTAAGAATATCAAGAATCCCACTAACTTGAGAATCAATTTACTCCCTAAGCAAAATCTCATGGCATCAATGAAGACAGAGATTCGACTGGACCTAGCTCCGGTCATCCAGAAGTCACTTCATAGCTGTGTCCAGACTGACGCCCTCCACCCACATGGACCGTGCACCCTGGCACATTTCAGACCGTTTGCTAAAAATTCTAGACGGAATGCATGATGCAGCATGTGGGGACCGATTCAGAACATGACAGGCAGCATGGATAAAGGATCTAGAACTGGTATCTCTCACAGAGAATCTGAGCATGCCCAAGCTGAGTGGAAAAACGGCTTACAGAATCCTCTAGAAATGTCAGGAAATAGAATGCATTTTACAAAGACAAATGCAAAATTCACACCTTAATTGTACACATAGGATATAACTTTTTGGTTCAACCGTGTCCTCAGAGAGCATCAGAATTAGCTACTAACGTGGCTCTTGATCTGGCTGGCCCCTGGGGGACAACGTGAACTTGCCCTGATCTGCTCTGGAAATATTTTGTCACAAAGGTGGGTCCACAAGTGTCCAGAATAACCCAAAGACACGATTCAATTTGGGAACTGACTGGAGTCCTTATTTAGGACTACTTCTGAAAGAATAAGGCAGAAAAAGGAATTTATGTGGGAAATACCATGTGGTTTCTATTGGGACCTTTTATTAGCAACATTTAATTAGCATAGTGCCCAGTACACAGTAAGGGCCCTATAAATGTTTTCTGAATGAACAACGTAAGTCTATAATTAGCAAGTTATCAAGGAGCCTACATGAAAAAATTTTTCACCAAATCTTGGTGATGGGTGCAACTTATTCTCTAAAACTTTGGAGGATATTAATAAGGAAAGCTTTAACATGAGGTGGCCTTACATTTCAAGGGCAAGCTCTACCATTTCTTAGCTGTGTCACAGTGGTTGAAATCACTAAACCTCCCTGAGGTTCAATTTCCTAATCCATACGGTGGAGCCAGTACTATTCACTTTATGGCCTGATTTTGAAGATCTGCAATAGTGTTTATAAAGAGTTTGGTACACACTACTCAAGAGATGGTGATTATTATAATGAAAGGAAATGCAGATTCTCATCAGCAAGTTAGTCCTTCTGTCCCAGAAATGGGCAGGCTCTCCCAACACTGGCCAAGGTCAGGGCTGCCATCAGCCAAGGTAGGGGAACATTCTCATTTTCACTTTCAAAGTCAAGAAAATGGTACAGATCTAAAGTAGAAAGGAACCAGCAGCACATGTTTTTAAATATTCATAAGGGCTGGAAATGTCTTACTCCTTTCGTTTTCTCTGCCATCTGCTTTTGTTTCTTTTCTTTTCATTCTTATGCCACAGCTGCAAATGAAAACAACCATACAATAACTCAAGTTAAATAAAAAAAAAAAATCAAAATAAAAACAATCTGAGGGGTAAAAAGAAAAGATGAATTATAAAGTTTTCCCCTGAGCTCACAAAGCAGCAGAAGCAAGAATGTTTGATGTGAGTTAAACCTTCTGGAAACCAAAAATCCATGTCCCATGTTTATAATAACCATGATAAGAACAACCACCATTTACTAAATGGCCTGTGTACCACTGG